GTGGGATTGACCGTCACATTATAACGCCCCCACGGCTGAAAGGGCGAGCATGTTTGGTGGTATGCGGATTTGAACCCGCGACCCTCAGATTGTGAGTCGAGCGTCTTATCCACCTGGCCATGCCGGGCCACCAGATTGTACCTACAGCTATAAGTGTTCCACAAAAATTAATTGTTGTTGGTTTTTTCTAAATTTTTAAGAATGCAAAGGAGGGCATAGGGATGGCCCTGTTAATAAATCAGTCAGATGGTACATAAAAGTAGCAACAGAGCTACTTGTTTGCACTGCAGTTGTAAATTTGCAATGAACTCCCCACAGTTCGAGGAAAGAAGATCCAAGTTGTAGATTTCCATACAGCACTAGCTGAAGCACTGTTGGATTTAGATGGGGAATCTTTTATATCCCTCAAGACACCAACTCAACATTTCTTACATGAATGGACATCAAATAATGCAATTCTGTTCAAATTGGTACACGAAACTGATGGAATATCATGGGCAAAAAGCTCACAAAATAAGCACATGCTGCTAACTGTGATGGAAGTCCATTCTTTTGTCCTGAAAGTTTTGAAGAGTGTCATTAAAAACGAAAAAACAAGCTTTTCATTTGTTGCATATGAGGAACATTTTTTTGATTTGCTTTTTGCAATTGAAGTTGAACTCAAAACATACATATAATAAAAATGTAGAGTGCTGAAATTCTTTAATCTAATACAATTATATTGTTTGTATTTCAAAATTTAGTGCTTTTTAAATATTCATGGCCGAAAATAAAATAATTTTGAATAACAACCCCCTTTACTTATTCATTTGTCCTTACAGATACATATAATAAAGTCAAGGCTGGTCCCATATAACCAGTAAGTATAAACCATATATGACAACTTATGAGAACATGAATGGTAGGCCACATGCAATGCTTTAACTGAACTCCATAAGCCCTCAACTTCATACCCTTAATTAATTTTCCATGTTAGCTGGTTAGTTTAATACCAGCATTTGGATTTTTGTCTGATAGATGGGATATCCCCAACGCATTATGGAGCTATTACAACAGGCATTATCCACTATGACTTTAACATGACAACTAGGACTGACAATGGAATCTCTACCAAAATCTTTAATGTTTATTTTATATTAAGTTCATTATTGTTTTACAGTGCTGATTTTAATCACCTATCACCAATTAATGTAATTAATAGTATTGAAGTTGTTTATTTCATTATATATATATATATATATACATATATATATATATAAACACATATACATACACAAAATTTAAAACTCTGAAAATGGCTACTGCCCTATAACCCATGAAAGCTTCTGAACTGTTTTAAATAAGTCCTCAGTTGTTAACTATGGAAGAATTTTCATCATTTAAAAAAACGAATGAGCAAATAACTATAAATATGATGATTACTTAATGACAAAATTTTCTTTTTATGAGCTAAATTTATAAACCCTTAAATATGTAAAACATTCATATACTTTGATTAAAAAAAAACTAAAAACAAACCCATAGCTTCAATGATTAAAATACTGTGGCTAGGAATTGTAGAAATTAGAACAAAATGCTTTGACATAGAAGGAACAAGAGTCTGTGTTCAAACTCAGCTGGAAAGATTTAATCTGTTTTTTCTAGTCTATCATACTTTTTTTTTTAAATACAATAGGCCCTGCTATAACAGTCCACTATAGTGAGAAACGTGGTATCATGAAGACCTGTCTTGGACCCCAACATCTTCTTTTAAATCTACTTTTTTGTAGAATGTATTTCCAGTCTTTTTTGTGAGTGTCAAACATTGTTGAAGTATAAATGCTCCACGAATGACACACTTCTGCCAGATAATACTCATTGCCACCCACAAGCAATTCAACAAAATGAAACTTTATTGTCAAACTTTTTCAATTCAGGTTACATTTTATATGAAAATATGAATTTAATTAAATATGATATTTAGTATTCACAAAACTGTGTTCTTTATTAACTGCTGGATTATCTGTTATGCCTTTATTGTTATTTCAATAATTATTTTTTGATAATAAAACACATATTTAGATTTTTGATCAGCCAATTAGATGGTAGCTTTGTGGTTAATTAAGGGGTTTAGCCTATGAGATTTCCCCAGCATAACTGAGCACAATTTTTCTCTGTATAGATACAGGTCAAATTTAGAATAGGGTCATCTATACTTGTACTGATACCCACAAAACAATCAACATAAAATAATGTCTACTGAATCACGAAAGAGAAGATCCTATATCACTGCCGAGAAGCTGAAAATCATTGGCCACATCAAGGAAGGTGCTACTCAAGCATCCATTTAAAAAAGAATGGGAATTGCTGAATCAATGCTTTGAAGGTGTCTTAAAAATGAAGAGAAGTTGAGAAGAGTGTCGATTGAAATGGATGAAAATGGCCAAGAAAGCCAGTACTGCTGACAACACACCTCTCAACAGTCATATACACATGGTTCACTCAGCAGAAAGCCAAAGGTGTACCTGTATCTTCAGGCTCAGAAGATTTGCCAACAAATGAAGGAAAATACTAGCATCTCAGTACAGTTTGAAACAGCACAGGATGGTTAGTAAGATTCAAGAACTGGCACGGCATTTCACAAGTTACCATATGAGGAGAACGAAGGTCTGCAGATGATCTAGCTGCAACATCACTTCCCACTGAATTCCAGAAGGTTATTGACAAACTGGATGAGACACACCTATACTATAAAATGTTACCAGAGAAGACATTAGTAACAAGAAGTGACAAACAAAATGTTTAAACTTAAACAGATAAAGACAAGGTTGACAGTCCTCGTTTGCTGCAAGAAAACTGGTAGACACAAGCTGACTCCATTCATCATTGGAAAATTTGCCAAATCATGCTGCTTCCATCATCTGAGCCAAAAATCATTACCATGCCAATACTCAAATAGTACCAAAGCCTGGATGACTTGATCAATTTTTGAAAACTTGTTTCATCAAGAATTCATGCCAAATGTCAGAAAATATCTCAGACAGAACAAACTACCGAAGAAAGCCATCTTGCTACTTGACAACTGTCCTGTACACCCACCCCCTGGTAACACAAGATGGAAACATCAAAGGTGTCTGTCGAGAAACACAACTCTTAAATCTCAACCCCTTGACCAAGGCATCATGTAGACCTTCAAACATAAATACAGAAGAGAACTGATCAAGAAAATGGTGGACAGTAAGAATGACAGATGATGAGATATTGGCCAGTGTAACAGATCCAAATCTTTAAGATGACCAGTTAGCTGATGATGATGATGAGACTGAGCCACTGCCACAAAATCATTCACTACCTAGAAGAATCACCGAGATGATTGAAAGCCAACAAAAAATCTACTATATCATTCATAAATGAACTACAATTTTGTCAATTGTTTGCTCTCAAAATATTTTTGTGTAATCTGTATAAATGAGAAATGACTGTCTGTGGATTTAAATAGTCTGATTGTACATGTATATTCATTGTTATTACCAAAAGAAATAAAATTTATTTCAATCGATTGTTTTCATTTTGTTACCAGAAGTCTGTTTGTTTACATCAGATCAGATGGTTTATCTGTTTATGAGGCCATTTAAATCTGTTTATCTGTAGTTCTGCCTTATTCTGGCTATTGGCTTGGGGCTTTTGAAAGGACTTCATTATAACATGGTCTCACGATATGGACCCTGTGGATCATATTATCGCTGGGTCCTAGCGTACTACTAATTTAGTGGTTTTCGAAACTTAAAAAATTATACTTATCTTTTTCCAGTACATATACAGTAAGTAAGCTACTGAAACCTTGTAATATTACTTCAGCTGGAAGTACTTGAAGAGTAATATCACAAATTGTAGCTATCTTTCAATCTTAAGAGCTAATCATTATGTACTTATATATTTATATGCAAAAAGACCAAAGGAAGAAAAAGAATGCAGGCTTTTGTTTGTTGTTAAACGCAAAGCTGTACAATGGGCTATCTGTGCTATGCCCATTCAAAGATTTTAGCATTATTAGATTATAAGCCCTTATGCTTACCATTGAACAAACGGAGGGAAAGAAGCAAGCATTGTAATCAGATAAAAGTATTGTTTGTTCAAGAGTGTAGTTGATATTTCGAAACAAGGAGTTTAAGGATAAAGTTGAGCAACCTTTATACTGAGACTTCTAACACTATAAACATCTTCAGTTATAAGGGTAAAATAATAATAACAAATGGACTTAAGAAAAGAAAACCTAATTGTTGTCTTTCTTTTCTGTTATGTTTCAAACTGGTTAGTATATATATGTATTTTTTAAAATTAAAAACAATGATGCTATAACTAGTAGAATTTATGATAAGTACAGTATTTAGCAACTAATAGCACAAGGAGTAAAGTTTCTTATAACTTTTATTTTACATAACCATAAATTATCTTTAAATACTAGTATCTCTGTACCTATATCTTAAGTGAAAACAACAACCTGAAAACAATAGAATTTTAACTTATTTAACATTTAAACTTAGATTCCACCAAATAACAAATTTTAAATATGTAAGGGTATTTTTAAATATCAAGAGTTATTCTTTGATATTGTGCAAATATTTGAAAGAAAAAAGTGAAAGTTAACATTTTCCTAATCTGAAAATGTATTTGTGATAGATACCTTTCACACAAAACAGCTATATTTATCATGTGTCTACTTAAGAGATTTGTATGCCACTAGTCTTGAGCTAACTTCCACCTAAGTTCACATGTTTAATATGATGGGCAGTGGTGCAAGATGATGACATCATGCAACAATAGCCCTTCACCAATAGGAATGGTGATACACCCTCCATACACAGTAACTCCACCTAAGCATTTGCACTCGAGATAACTCCATTCTTAGACAAGGCAAGACAAAAAGGTGTATCAGAAGTGGGGAGGTCAGGTAGGAATGTGTGAAGAGGTATCAATTAGAAATACCTTTTCAGATTAGGGAAATGCTAACTTCAGAGACAATACCTCACTTCTATACACAGAAAAGCTAGAATCCCACAATAAGTTAGTGGAGGGGCCTGTGCAAAAGTTAAATCTAGATGAGCTCCCTTTAGAAAGTGCCCAAACTGAAAACCCATGGAGTGTGACATCTGATGGCAGGGGGTTCTATAGGGTTGCAGCCATGGGATCCCAACCACATCTTGTATTGAGCAGGGTATACTCTTTGTCAGGAATGTAAAGGGTGAAAGAGGCAAAAAAGCCCAAAGTGTCACAGGAATGGGCAGAATTTGAACATAGCCAACCAAGCACCTGCACACAAGTAGTCAGCAAACCAATAGGTGTAATTTGGTTAAGGGTGTGGTCAAACAGTATCATGGGTGCTTACCTCACCTTTACTGGACAGACTGACTGCAGGAGGAGGGCAAATGAACTGTATTGTACTAAACCCCAAAACGGAGGAATTCTCCAAAGTCCACCACCTCAGTGGCTAGGAACTGGTAAGTGACAAGGATCTCCCATGCTCCACTTGAAAAGAATGTGCATTGAGAAGACCTGGAGAAGAGAATGGGAAGAAGAGGAAGGTCTGGAAGGTGGAATTGGAAGGGTAGGGGCAGACTGATCCAGTTGAAAAGACAAGAAACCAGGAAAATAAGAGGATTGATGATAAGCTGCTTCAGCCCAGGTCTCCAGTTAATCAGGAAGACCACCAAAGGTGTCTGGGCAAAGAAAGAGAGCCTGACTAAGATCACACAAATAAAATGTATGTAGCCATACATAAGTAAGGAGTGTATCCCAACCCATCAAGTCCCAACAGCAGAGGAGCCAAGTAACCACAGACAGAGCAGAAGTTGTATGGGCCAGTGGTAAAGAGAAGGGAACAAATCTCACCAGAAAAACCCTCTGAAGCATGATGAAGCACCTGAGACATAAAGTATAGGAAGGAGAGGTAACTTAGGATGGTAGTGAGAAAAAAACAATGCTGTGAAAATTGGGCACTAGAAAGTGAAACAGAAAACAAGGAACATGCTCCCCGAGCAGGCAAAAGAGATTCTAAAGATTTGGAATCTAAAAAAAGGAAAGGAAGAATGGTTGTAAGCCAGAATAAAATAATCAAGAAGACAAGGAGGATGAGGCATGTGGGCATGGATGCAAAGTTGACCAAGAAAAGAATCAACATGAACCCTAATATCAGATAAGGGAGGAAATAGTCCTGAATATTAGTTTCATGAAGCAAAGAATGGGAAGAATCATAAGACACGAGGAAAGAGAAAGAAAGGAACATACTTGGGACATCATATCCTGAAACAGAGTGGAAGGTGGAGGATTGCCATCGACTGGTAAGGCTGCACCCAAAGCAAAACCAGGTGGAGGGACCAGTAGATCAAATTTGTCTTCTTCCTGGTCATTCTGAAACTGAGAAGAAGAGATGTTGGCTGAATGAGGAGGAGGCCTAATATACATGAGGGATCTCACAAGACACTGTAAAATGGTTGTAATGCCCTTAACAAGCCTCCAGAAACCATAATAACTTCAGCACTTTCACAGGATAAAGTAGAAGTCACTGTCACTTAAGAATTCATGAAAAATTCAATGCTTTTGAAACAAAAGCTTATGTAAAATGAAAAATAAAGTTTCATTTGTGATTGCAAATCTCAGTAAATTGAGCATAAATGAGAAAAATTAATGTCTGTTCAATGTAATGTCATGAAAAAGAATGATATTATCTTGAGTGCAAATGCTTAGGGGGGAAGATACTGCACATGGAGGTTGTGTTGCATTCATATTGGTGAAGGGCTATTGTTGCAGTTCACATTAAACAAGTGAAATTAGGTGGTAGTTAGCTCAAGGCAAGTGCATGCAAATCTCTTGGGCAGACCCATGAGGAATATAGCTGTTCTGTGCTCAGAGTTGGTATAGTTTTAAAAATGAAAAACTTGACTCATTTTCAACTTTAAAAGCATGGGGTAGTCATACAAAATGCTACATTAAAACAGCAACAATAACATTATTAAAGTGCATAAAAATTATAAATAAACAGCACTGGCATAACAGGAATAAAATAATTGAAGTTCATGAAACCACCTTACTAATTAATATATATATATATATATATACACACACACATCAGTTTGGGTCACAAGTTTCAAGGCTGACAACAGTTATATATTTAATCTTCCCAAATTTTACTTTCAAATTTTCATACATATACACTGGAGTTTAGCTGGTTGAAAATGTATTGTCTTTGAGAAAAACAAGTGATACTTCTACTAAGTACCGATACAAAAGACACAAGTGAATATTTTTGTATTCATACACAATTTCCATACAGTAAAGTGCAGTCTCAGCTTTACCGGACTAATAAAATTGTTTGTATAGTTATTACCCATGGTTTTTACATTGTGTCTTATTCAGTATTAGACTGAAAGAAAAAACGAAATTCGAGTAATTCGAGCCTGCTTTTGCTTCTTTTTAGTCACTGCTGCCATAATATGATTAACCTTCTTAAAGAACTCCTGGTGAAGGACTTTGCCATTCAGGTTTGAAAGGATTGGAAGCAGGCTGCAGGGTAAGCTCTCCAGGGTTACTGTTGTTGCTTGGTTGGGAGACCTTTGTATTGGTGCTTGGAGTGCTGGTGGGCACACTGAAACCAATGGTATTGGGAATGCTTACATTGCTATTAGGTCCCACACCCCGTTGCTGTTTCCCAGAACCTGTGGGAGCTGAAATTGTTAAGAGGTGTTGAATCAATAATGGCACGCAAAAAATAGAATTTCTCATATAGTATTTTAATGTGATAATCAACTAGAGTGGCAGAAATAGTTACAAAAGATAAGCTAACAAACTAATTGGTTTGATTCTGCAGAAATTTAATTTTTTACTAAATGCAATAATGGAGATATACTTTCGAATTATCTTAACCACATATTTTTAAATGGGAATTGATTGATGATGTAAGTTTACGTAATATTTGATAGTTATCAGTTTTGTAAAAGACCGACTGGAAACCTCAATTCTTATGAAAAAAATACAAGTATCTAAATCACATCACAAGAAAAAAAGTAAACTGATACTTTCAGACAACTTTAGAATTACAACTGTTACATTATCCATAACTTCAAGTGACATTCCTGTGACAACATCAGTTAGACTTCCAAACACTGGTACAGATAACTGTAGTGATCTGTGACTTCGATTTCAAATCTTGTTCAAGTAGCTATTATGCTGCTTTGTATAAATCAACTACAAGTATATAACCAAACATTCACGGAAATGATAGGACTCTTAAAAAGTTTTTCTTTCCTTCTTTTACTTCTTTTCAATTATGTGCATTTACTAATCATATGAAACACAACCTTGTTTATAAATAAATATTTATCAAAGACTATACTACATGATAATTTTGAATTATCTTGAAAGTATAATTATACTGTATCTTCACACTGACACTAAGTAAAAGTTAACAGTTGATAATCTTTATTTTTCAATTTTCTTGTAAATGGTAGTTGTTACTATCTTCCAATTAAAAACAAAGAGGTTTTCCATCACTCTGCACTACACTTAATCAGATTTCACTAATAGTTACAGCAGGTCATAGTCAAAAGTCAAATTCTTTCATGCTCAGATGGCACTTAATATTTGGTGCTGAATTGGCACAAGTAGATGAGAATGGTGACAATGTGCCAGTCAGTCACAGGATAACTCCCAACTAATAGCTGGTACTCATCAGACAGCTGTGTAGATTGAAACAATTAGAGTAAAGTATCTTGCTCAATGACACAACAGTGCAATTCAAGCCAGCCTCGATCTCACAACCATTTAATTACAAGACCAAGGCATGAAGCCGTGGAGCCATGCTGCACCCCAGTTATGACAAGTAGCATTTAGAAATTTAAAAAACACAAAACTGTTTTCAATCTCCCTGTGCTTCACTTAATAACATTAGATTAATGGTTACAACAGGTGACATTTTGAAGTCTGTTTCAATTTATTCTAACTAATACAAGAGTTTGTTAATTTGTTCGGGAACGAAATGATCAGCCACAATTCATTATAATCTCATGACTATAAGATGTTTGATTGTTCTGTAGCTTTTCTTTTGTGCTCTTTTCCTTTCATGAACTACATTTTGTATAAAAAAAGGCCCCAGGATAGAAAGGTAATGTTCGTATTGATTACCTTCTTTTTTTTTCTTTCTTTATCGTTTCTCTTCCACTCCTGATGAAGTCATTTGACATATTTCTTTTTTTTCTAAACGTGTTTTGCCCCCAGTGGCAGAGGAGTATGTCTGCGGACTTACAATGCTAAAAACCGGGTTTCGATACCCGTGGTGGTCAGAGCACAGATAGCCCATTGTGTAGCTTTGTGCATAACTTCAAAACAAACAAACTAACTTCAAAACTAAATGTGTTTCCTGTTTTGATTTTAACCAAGATTATTTCCAGTTTCACACATATCTTGTTATTACACATGTTCTCTTAATTTCTTTTTAGTTATTTTACACATTTCCACTAATTAAAGTAGCATTTCCTACTTGAAAACATAATTTGTCTTTTTTGAAAATGACATATTCACTGATAATATCATAGTTATTTCCATGGGTTTAGAATATACAATTTTTTTTTTTCTAAAATGAAAAATACAATAGTTAGTGCAATATATACAAGAAAATGTTTTGTTAATGTTCTTTGTTAAAGTTATTTTATTCAGTCCCACAAGTATTTAACTAATTAAAAAACTATAATTGTGTGTCAACAGTTGGTCAAAACTTCCTGCCATCACCATGTGACATTGTAGCATTTTCAATACCACCACCAACAATAACTTAGCTTTCAAAGCAGTGTGGAAATAGATTTTTATTTTGGAATGCTGTGCACATGCTGAGCTTAAAGAACCATAATACTGTAAGGAAATATGAAACTTTTAGGAGATAACCTAAAATTAAATTTAGCAACCAGTAAACTTAGGACAATTCTCACCTGTGTGAATGCGCCTGTGCCGGGAGAGCTTGTCCTTCCTGTAGAAACTTCGCCCACAAAAGTCGCATGGGTAGGGACGTTCTCCAGTATGGATCATGGAGTGGCGAGTAAGATGGTTCTTCTGGGAAAATCCCTTTCCACAAATATCACAATGGAATGGTTTGTCTCCAGTGTGGGTCCTCATGTGGTCCAGTAGCTTGCAACGGTAGCTGAAACCATTGCCACAGATTTCACAGGAACAGTTCTTTCCTACTTGCATTGATGGTGCATGAATTCCCAAATTCCCTATCAAAATAAGATCAGAGCATTAACATAAGCTGCAATTTTAAGTTGCATCAGAACAAACAATGAATATAATATTATGTATTTTTACAGAGCTTCATATCAGAAACACAATAATAACAGTCTAAAATGGCTAAAGTTTTCTTTGTCAATCTGTATTCTTTGTAACCTTCCTTGGCATTCCCTAATCATATTTTTACCATGTAATGCAAATGCTTATTGATAAATACTGAGATAGAATCTCACACTATATACATTCTAGAGAAACTTGTTAATAATGAACATTTGAAGTTCAAAAATCTGTCCATATAAGCAGTATCACACATTTTTATCTCCTTTTTAAGTTACATTCCTTAAAAACAGCAGTAAATTTTTTCCTAGTTTGTATACATGATAAAAAAAATAAGAAGAAAACAATACAAAATGCAGTCCTCTTAGAGCTGTTTTCTTAACAGCTATTGAAACAAAATTCTCTTTAAGCTTTGATGGTTTTCTTTGATGATGCAATAAATTAATATTTCAAGCATCTTGATTCAATGAAATCCAAGAATCAGATAGTGGCAAAAATAAATCTGCTATATATACTTGGGGATAAAAACAGGTATAATTCTTGCTAGCTTTCAAAGCACAATGAAACTAAACAGAGCATAGAGTTTTTATTTGCCACTTTTATTTATAAGGAAGTTTTATATAATTTTCCAAAGGGCACACAGTTGGAAGCCACAAGTCTCTACTGAAAATGTAAATTATTTAGCATCCATTATCTTTTCACATAAAGTGAATCAAACTAAAATGGTTTAACCATGAGAAAGGCACAAGTCAAACTACTAAAAATTCTGATCATATTTTTATTAATAAAAGAATATCAAAAAAGTACATTGTTTATTGAGAAAAATGTATTTTGTGCCAGTATAATTTACATCATTTACAGGATGCATCCTATTAAGATTTTAAAAAAATTAATGTGCTTAAACATACAATACACAAGCTTAGGTGCACAATATCTACTTTCAGTTCCCTGTTACCTGGTTCCTTTGATGCATCACACAATCCAGAAATTATCATTTGATTCTGCATCCTTTGTTTAAAATAATAGACTATTTCAATAACCTTCTGGAATGATATTCTAAATAAGAACGTTATTGATTATAATACTTTTGTACTTAGTTTTCTAAAAGTAAATATTTTCAAGCTATAATCGAGTAATGTCTTTTCTTCATATTTTTTCAAGCCTCATATTTCCTAGTTATGTTAAAAAAACAATAAAGTTAAAGCACAAATTAAAAGTTTCAAATCGTTAAAAAATATTTTATTAAAAGTCATGCTTTCTGCATTCAAACTTCATGAACACTGAACAAAAACATGCTTTCCTTATTCATATTTATTAGTTTTATAAAAGAAATTACATACAGTGATTAACTATTAAATATCTACTTAGAACATCTAGAACACTTTTCTCCATATTTAAACTGTTTTACAAATATATTTCCCTGTATATGTATAAAACTGGTACAACACTAGTAAGAAAACATCTCAGTGTTTTTCTGGGTGAGGAAAAGTATTCAACAATTTTCATATAAACGTTTTAGTACTCAGCTTAAGTGATAAGAATACGACAACAATTTCTATGGATAAACGAACTGTAAATAGCTACATATTTTTGGAAAAGATTAATAAATTTTACATAAAATGCTGTTTTTATCAACTTAGAAATAAAATATACATCATTAAAAAGGGCAACTTACTAGTGTGGTAGTCAGAAATTCATTCCAAAATCTTCAATATGCACGAACTTTCCATTATAAAAAAGAAACCTTTTCGTAAGAAAAGTAAATTTTTTTGACACATAATTTACAGGTAAAAATTGCTGGAGGAATTTTTCCTTCACTGTTACTTTTTTTTTTATAAGTAGTGGAATAAGGATAACGTTTGTTTTTCTGCCTAGATTCTAATTTATTAAAAAGTTACATTTCAAATATTACAACACATATAATTACAGCTCTCAATTACAATTTCTTTGTTTGATTTTCTTATAATTATCTATCTACCTGTAGATTTATTTCTATGCTTACATAACTATATAATGATTAGAGAGATCTGCCCAAATATTTTTTTAAAACAAAATTGGAACATTTGCAATGGCTAAAATTATTTCTACTATACAAATTTTACAGACAGATATATCTTAATATGAGGAATGAAGTTCTCCAACAAACTGTAAATAAAGATGTCATAAGGTGTGTGTAATATGAGTATATAGTTTTATGTTAAGACACGAATCACTGACAATTTAAACACACTGTATGAAAAACTCATGTTTTAACTACATCTATATATCACTTATAATATTTCTTGGCACAGTGAATACTTGAATGTAGTAGTCTAAAAGACTGAAATTGTGAGGGGGCAGCTTGTGCAAGAGAAACAAAATTACTGACAAGACACAAAGATTGTTGTACTAATCTTATCATTTTTACTTCCAATACAAAACATCCTGCTGTCATACAGTATTACAAACATCACCATAATAACAGCCAGAACAAATATTTATTATGCACACTGCTCCATTTACAAGTTTCCAGATATATTTTGTGAACATTTATAAATTCATTTGCAGCAAGGCCACTAAAGGCTTAAAAAAAGCTACATCAAACATAATTACCAAATGAAGTGTCTGTTACTTCTTTTTATAATAGATCATGCATTTTGCAACACCATAATGCAACAAATATTGTAGTGCAAATTGCTTCTATACATATCTAGTTCACAGTAGACAAAATTTTACAGATACCCATGATAAAAACATCTACTTGAAACTTAATGTAAGCATATAATCAATCATTTTCTTTTACAACAACGTTGGACATACTATTGGTTTTTCATAATTTTAACCATCAGAGTAGTAAATATCCATATTCATTATAAACATAATAAGTAAAATCATTGTGCGAGATTTTACCATGTAAATTTTTTAAATATACAATGAAACCTATGGTAAGATACTATTAAGTTCTTTTCATTTTAGAACTGTTGACCAATTTTGAACAGTGATATATTACAACCAGTGCCAGATTTAGGCATAAGCTAAACAAGCTACAGCTTGGGGCCTCACAAAATTTCAGGTTTTTTTGCTTTTAAAATTTTATGTGTATTGTAGTTTTTAAAATGGCCAGCCAAATGATAAATATGTAATCAGTAAATGCATTCATTTGAAAATAATTTGTATTTTTCACTTTCAATACCTTGCTATTAAATAATAAATAATTAAAAGGCACATATATATATGTTTTTAATTTTTTGTGGCGACCCAAGGTCCTGTTTTAGTATGCACCTTTGCGAGACCTTCTGGTGTAAGTTTTTAACAAGGGGCCTCCAAGCTTTATATAGCTTAGGGCCTCACCAAGTCTAAATCTGGCACTGATTACAACTATTAACAATGAAAAATAAAGTGTCTGGGAGACTGCACTTTTACACACTGGTAACAGCCTTGTCTTTCCACAAAATTACAGCATAAGAAAAAACAAAAACTACAGTGTGAACTCAAATACAGACTGTTTAATATGAACTTGACTGAAGTCTTTAGTCATTATAAAATTTTCACACACTTTCAATTACTGCAGTCTAACAGTGTATGGTTTAACTGAATAGAAACAAAATCATCGTAAATGTTCACTTTAGTTTACGATAAACAAACTGTTATTTTATCTTAGAGACCTCAACCACTTTGTATAAATGTTTTTAATTGGCAGCAACAAATTTCACTAGTTTCTGTTTCAAGTCATTTCTTAAAATATGAATTCAGTTTTATGTACATTAAAATTTGTGAATAAAATAAATTAATTATAAGTCTATTACTGCAATAACAATACTTATTCATTCACCAGTATTATACTCGTTTAATGTTACACATTTTCAAAATATTTATATAACAGGCTTCCTTTTACACACATATAAAGTCCCAACATGAATTTATAAATTTCTTTTCTACATTCCTTCTCCAAAAAGTAATTGGTTTGGTTCCATTTTTTATTTTACAAACAGAAACTTTCAAATGAAAAGAAAAAAATACAATGTAATTTTCAAGAATGTATGTTATTTTACCAAAAATAGTTAACATTTTTGGTGAGGAGTTTTGGCTAAGTGATTCACTTCAAAAGTAATGAGACCAAATTTAAGGCAGGACATTGTTCTCAAGTGATCTAAACTGGATTAGATAAATTGGATAATAATAAACTGGATAAATTGTTTTTCTTTTAGGTTACTGTTTTCCCAGTTATCATACTTTTGTTTAGAATACATTAAATAGAACTAGTTTCTTTATTTTACACTTTTATTTTTCCATCAAATCTTGTAGTTTTCTGCATTAATAAAAATAATAACCATATTACCCCATTCCATCAAATCTTGTAGTTTTCTGTATTAATAAAAATAATAACCATATTTCCCCATTTTAAACCTTGAATCAAATCTACACCTTTTACATGAACTTGCAGGATACACAGAATATATCAATCTTGCATTCTTGTTTTTATAACTATTTTTTTGTATGCTATTTGAAATTTCAAAAGTGAGTTATACTAAACTCATTCATCATTTTGTACTCAAAATTTTCACTCTTTTGACAGTTTTCCTCATGACTGTACTCTATAATGATTTTATCACATCTTAAAAGAGTGAACCTGATGTAATATAAAAATGATGCACAAGTTTTTCTATACTTTATTCCAAACACTACAACTTGTATAACACTTTGTAAAAATTCTTTAAAAAGTGGGTAAAGAAAAGGCACACAAGAAATATATATAAAATATTCTCTCCTGTTCCATTTATCATACCTGCTTTTTCACTTTTCATCCGCCACTCCTGGAAGTTAGGTGAGCTATACCATAAATAACTTTGTAACACCTACATTATCTTGTCTTAAAAAATGTTATGGAAACTTATAATGTATTATATTATGCTTAAAAGACAAAGAACAATGAAAATTTATCTGTTTTCCCATC